TTTCACACAGCCGATTAAAGCTGCTCAAAATACAGTGTCAAGACGCAATGCTGCATAAAAGCCAGACTAAACTATGCCTGTTCTGACCTCTAGTATTACAGTATACAGTTGTAATTGCTGTGTTAATGCCGCCTCTGAGCAGCATTGAGAAATACATCTAAATGCCGCTTCAGAACTAAATTAGTAATTGTGTATTGTTTTCAAGTGAATTATCAAGTTACGTGACTTAAGACAAGACTTGAGACTTAAGGAAAAGTATTTTGTCTTGTTCCGATAACATATTTGTTTTCACTTGCTTTAAGTATAAACATCTCTAAATGTGTAATTTCTCATTTTTTAATAATTTATTAGATTTTATTTATTTATCATTTTATAATATTTTTTATTTATTTATTAGATATTTTATCTGATATTGGACATCTAATGTTCATCTGCTCTATTTAGATTACCTGTGCCATATGTAATGCTCAGCTAAGCTTTAAAAACATTAATAATGTAATAAATGTAATCTCAAAATGAAAATCCATTTTATTATTTGTAGCATTTAAAATAATTGATTTTAGTTTTTAGTGTGCTTTTTTATTTATTAATTTTTTTTAACAAAATAACTATAACATGAAAATAATACCATCTTATTTATATTAATCAGACTGAATATCAGTGCATCCCTCATGGTTTTGACGTCAGAGTCATGAAGATTTCTGAGTAATTTTTGCAGTTTAATTTCCCAATAATATGTCTTAGATTGAAATGATCCAAACGTATAATGCAGTGATTGATAGCTGAAGAAACAATCGCTCCTCAAAAGATCCTGAGGATCAGATTTGAGACTCTAAAACATGATTGATGGAGAATCAAGTAAAGCTGAGCTGCTTCAGTCCAGTAAGTGTTCATCTGGAGATATTACTGCAGTTATTCTGATGTATTCTGAGCCTCACATGCGCAGCTTCTGTGTAAATTTGGCATGAAGGATCTAGAAATGTGTGTGTGTGTGTGAGAGAGTGTGTGAGAGAGTATGTGTGTGTTTGTGTGTGTGTGTGTGTGTGTGTGTGTGTGTGTGTGTGTGTGTGTGTG